GGGAAAGAAATTATAGAAATTATACTTTTATTTAGCAAGGATGCTTAAAATTGATCAAAAGTGATGATAAAGGCATTTATAATGTTACAAAAGATTTCTATTTCAGATAAATAGTGTTCATATCGATATCGGAATTATATCGTATCGACCGAAATTAAGAAATATATCGTGATATCAATTTTGGCCATATCGTCCAGCCCTAATATGTATGTATGTATATATATATGCGTATTTGTTATAGTATGAATAAAAGTATGTAGTATGTATAAAAATATGTATAACATTTTCATTATTTAAATGAACACATTTTCCAAACAGGTCACTCAAAATATTAAGTTTAGTTTTAGGATTTGTTTTTTATTTTTAATTTTTTTTATTCACAAATGCCCTTATTTAATGTCCCTAAACTAGGGGCATTAAATAAGGGTAATTGTGAAAATAAAGTGAAATAAATAATGACAATAATACATTTTTGAAATTGTCAGTAAAGTTTACAGTTGACACCAGATAATAGTGTGTGTGTGTATAATACTTTATTATCTTACATTTTAACACGTTTTAATTATATATTATAGTCATATAAGTCTATCAGGACTCCTATTTAAGCCCTTTTTATGCCCATTGGTGTTCATGGTTTATGTCCTCTCTCTCTAGATTATTTAATGCCTTTGATCTTCTGGACATTAAGAATTGTGATAATTCTCATGCAGACATCACTCTCTGACTTCATAATATAAAGCATTTTTCCCTCGGCAGATTAGTTGATTTCACTGCTTGACTGCCACTAAATCTGACTAAAGCCTTCCGGGGAATAATCCATCAAATGCAGATTAATGTCTTGTGCATTGGGCCCATTTTCTATGATCTGCAGCTGAAGGCTTGATCTGACCCTGCAGCCTCGGTGTCATGTGCAATCATGCCATAAAACACACACAACATTAATTTAACGCGTGTGTCCCTTGTGGACCAGACACTGATGGTCCAACTAAATCACTGCCTGTCAAATAATACAGAAGGTTTGTTCAGAAGTTCACATTATCAGTACGTTTTATATTAAACTATACACTAAGAGCCAATGTGCAATATAAAAAGCTGTTGATATTTCACACTCAGCCCCTCTAAATACATATGCAAATGCATTCTTGTACAAACACACCTCTACTCTTCCAGAAAAGGGTGTTTTTAACGTGGGCAGTAGACATGCTGTGCTGAAAATAAAGATCAGTGCATTTGTTGTGCTAGATGTGCACTTGGCCCAAGTTCAGCTAACTAATGCATGGAGCTCCTCAACATTTATGCATGCACTTCTGGTTTTATTCACCTGTGCATGCATGACCTTGCAGCTACTAAAGTGTCTTGAAGTGCATGTGGCCATTTAGAAGCACCTTTCAAGTTTGATGCAAGTTATAAGATTAGTTGCAACTTGTAGGTACATTACAATGAAAAGTTACAGGGATGTATTGTTTTTATTTCTGTAGATTTATTTATAAGTTTTATGGAAGTTAAAGGATTATTTGCATGTTTTTACTGCCCCCCCCAAAAAGAGAGTCGATTTTAAAGTGGGCCTCCTGGGGCTCATTACTCAGCCTCCATTTAATAAAGCAATCTACAGTTACTCTAATTAGCATTCGCATCTGATAAGAGCAGGCAATAGTTGTGCATGCAAATCCATACAAAACAACATAGTGTGTTCATAAATAATATTTCTGGAGATAATCTTCTCTAATCACTGCTGAGACCAAATTGAATATCACACTGTGTAAGACACCATTAGGTTGACAGTTACTGCCCATTGTGCTCCTTTTAATTTGGCCCTGCACCATAGTGTGGAAGTAATGGTTTTCAGTGGGGCCATAATCACCTGCAACATTGTTCATCTAACGCCCCCTGGTGGACAAATAGGAATTGTGTCCCATTTTCTACAAATTAATCCCTTGCATCCCATCCAAAAACCATTGTACAAGCATGAATGTTCTCCACTGGCGATACATTTTTTTGGTGTATTTATTAAGTGCAAATTTGACAGCAGTGCAACCCATTCACAGTCTAGTCCTCTTTAATGTGTGTTGCATCTGCATTATACTGTTTTGTATCTGTTGTCATTCAGGTTGTGTCGTTAATCTCTCAACGCAGACATCTGGAAGAACAGGCACAGAGCGATTAGACTGTAATAAAAATGATTAAAGAGTGCCATTCATCCTTTGGGAACGGTGCCATTTGTGTCTATACATTTCAGGCTCATTTATTTGAAAAGGTTACTGCTGAATAAAGAAAATGTAGGGTCCCTCCTCAGAGTGTCACTCCCTTAAGATTGATCATCTGAAACATCACATCATTATTGTTAAGGTGTAAATGTCACAGTGAAACACACAGTGAAGGACATATTCAGATCCTGCATATTTTTATAGGAAACTCTTACTAGAACACACACTGGCAAAGTTTTTTTTTTTTTCATTGAAAGCAAAATTATTTTATAGATTTTTTAAATATGTTTTTTAAACACAAATTATCAAATATTTAGATTGTAAAACAAACATTAAATTAAATTAGATAAAGAAAAACATTTAAAAACAAGTTTTTTAATTCATGAAAACAGAATGTATTTAATAGTACATTATGTAAACACACACACACACACACACACACACACACACAAATATTAAAAGTTCAATAATAAGAGCATGTTGGCTAATACAGCAAAAAACAAGGGTTTTAAAAAATGTAATAAAATA